AGCATATAGTTCTTCTTGACCTTTTGTCGTCCACCATCATCAGGTACATTTTTCATTGGACAAGTACTTGGGTTCTGAGCATTTTCCTTCTTTGGAAGTGTTTCCTTGTATGATGTGAGGGTCTAAGGACAGAGGGTGTCGTATTGTCATACTGATATTCTGTACAAACTGTGAAGTCCACTGAGACAAATGTAACATTTGTGATATTGGGCTATATAAATAAACATTGATTGATTGATTGATTGATTGATTGCTCTTGTTGAAAATAGCCTGACACATGTACAGAATCAGTAAAGACATTAATACATTTTAAACAGGAATCCACAGTCGGTCTTCGGACATGTCTTCTCTTGGACCAGTCGTTTTTTTCAGCAATTTTGACTGACTTTTCATTATGAATGGTGGTGAACTTGTTGCTCAGTCAAACATGAATTAAGTTGCAAATACGTTGGTTGAAAGCTCCATCATTTGGCATGTGCTACACGAAGAGTGTTGAAGCATTTGGCTGCATCACACTCTGGTCTATTGAAGCTGCATCAATGGATACTGAAGCCAATAATTGGTTACATTATTCCTTCGTTGATTCACTTATGTTCTAGAGCAGGGGTTCCCAACCTTTATTGTGCCAAGGACCGGTAGATACATTAAAAAAAAATCGCGGACCGGTTGTCAATTTTAACTGATTTTAATATTTACTCACCACCAGCAGGTAGCAACAGAGTCTAATTGTATGTAACAGCCTGAACAAATACTAGAACAATATGCATCCAAAACATATTAACAAAGTTTAAAAAAGAACCGGTGTTGTTTTTTGGTTTTTCGGAAAACCAAAAAACCGACGTTATTCAGTTTTTAAACCAAAACGGGAAAACAGATAAATCAACGTTGTGGTTTTGTTTGTATGATTTACGGATACTCCAGTGAATGCTGGGAAAACGAGGAGAAGGCGCATTATGAACGAGATGTCCGGTCGCCAGGGTGTGTGTGTGTGTGTGTGTGTGTGTGTGTGTGTGTGTGTGTGTGTGTGTGTGTGTGTGTGTGTGTGTGTGTGTGTGTGTGTGTTTGTGTGTGTGTGTCACTGGCATTTGTTTTCAGAAGATATTATGATAGTGTCGTTCGTTCCGGTGCACTCCCGACAGCATTTAGCACTACATCGAGATTAAGATTAAACTAATTTATTTTGGGAACAGCCGCATATATGCCGGTGTCGGACACAAACACACCGAACACACAGAGCTGAGCTGAGCAGAGCACATACACACACACACACACATCATGCGCCTTGGTGACTGACTGGACATCTCCTTCATAAAACTAATAAAAGGGGGAGTAATCGGGCAGTTCGATGTGTGTAGAGATGTGTGTGTGGTAACACGTAGCAGCCTGCAGTCACTCTTAAACTGTTCTGATTAAGTTAAACACAGCGAAGGCGGTGCGTAAAAAGGCACAGCTCTTTAACGAGTATACGTCCCGCTGCCTCCTGATGCTTCAGCCATTTCATGAAGTGAAGGAGGGTTTCCTTCTATAAAACAGCTGCGGGCAGCAGATACCGTGAGAGTCCCGGACATTAATTCATAGATCAAGGCAGACTGGTTTACTCTCCTGTTTTGCCAATCCGGTGCTTAAACAAATAGCTCTACACCCCTGGCCGACATGTCCTTAAAATGAAGTCCGAGTTTGAAATATATCTCAAATAATGTATGCACCACCATTTCCCCACATAAACATAACAGTCTGCAATCAAACGGTTGTCTCCTGTGCGCTCCTCTTCCTACTTGGCGCACCGGTAACATTCTCGTGCGCACAAGAGCCGCCGAATCCCTCGGAACATCATAAAAGCCATTTTCAACGGTTTTCTGGTGAAAGATTAACTAGCTACTGGATGAAATAATATGACTGGTGGCATAGGTGCGAAAATTAAACACTTTTTGAAAAAAATATTATGATAAAATATTTTTATATATTTATAATTCTGCAAATATTACGATAAACTCACAGCTATTTCGCGGCCCGGCAGTAACACCTCCGCGGCCCGGTACCGGTCCGCGGACCGGGGGTTGGGAACCCCTGTTCTAGAGAACATGCTCTTCATTTAATCTCGGCTCATCTCCCTTCAGTCTCTCTCTCACCTCCCTCCTTCCTCCCTTCCTCCCCCCCTCCCCAACCTCCCTGTGTCTGCTCCGACAAAGATCCATGCAATAAAGACTCTGCGACGCCTTTTGAATACCAACTAAACTCCAGCATTGTCTGAGATCAGGGGGGGGGAATTCTCTGCATTTGGGGCGTTCCCCTCCTCATCCCACTGCTCTACAGCTAAGAGGCCAATTGGACCGCAACCCTAAACCCCCCATGATGAAGAGCAATAACTCCCCTCCTTTATCTGTGTGTTCCACTGTGTTGCCCACCATGCTCAGTGGAGGAAGAAGGGATCAATATGAGTACGGCAGCCACAGCTCAATAGTGTGTGTGTGTGTGTGTGTGTGTGTGTGTGTGTGTGTGTGTGTGTGTGTGTGTGTGTGTGTGTGTGTGTGTGTGTGTGTGTGTGTGTGTGTGTGTGTGTGTGTGTGTGTGTGTGTGTGTGTGTGTGTGTGTGTGTGTGTGTGTGTGTGTGTGTGTGTGTGTGTGTGTGTGTGTGTGTGTGTGTGTGTGTGTGTGTGTGTGGCCCCAGTGAGACATACTGGACATAAAGATGAATAACAGCTGACTTTGCTACCATGGTAACCCCTCCAGAGGTCCTCCCACCCTCCCTGGTGGGAGGAGGAAGTCAACAGTAAACATGCTGCAGTGCCCTCCCTACCCTGGAGATGTTATTAATATAGTAACTCAGGATCAATACATTTGTACTAATCCTTTCATATTTATGCGACTTTATTGTCCTCGTAAGAAAATTAGTTTTGGATTCCGTCCTGCAGTTCCACAAAAGATACAAATCATAAATAGTGCATAGTAAAAGACAACAGCATACTGTATTCACACATGACTTACACTACATGTACACAGTTTGACATACACAGACAACATAGTGACACTACTGCACAAACCCCATGGCCACCCTTTAAACTATATATCACATGTGTTTGTTGAGAGGTTTCATGGACGTAGGAGGAATGAGTGTTTGTGACGGTTTAGCCTGACTTGATTACTTGAATCAAAGTGACTTTGTGACTCGTCATGCCGACAGGTGGTGACTGTGGTGCTGATTTTGGCTTTATCTTTATGAGGCTCTCCATTAGCACTAGCATGAACATTAGCTATTCTTCCTGGGGTCCACACACTCACACACTTATTTAACTATTTTAGCCACGTAAACAGAACAAACATAAACAAAGACAAACAGCTTAACAGTCATTAAGTTAGGAAGTGAAAACAAAAAATGGTCATCCTTTAAACCAACATTCAAATAATAATAAAAAATCAACTGTTCATACACAAGTCGTTCATGTTTATGTCCAAAATAAAGATGTGTTTTTAAAGAGGCCCTATTCTAGGGCTTTTCCCTTTCCTGTTTTTCTGCATGTAAATGCTCTCCAAAGGCTAAAGATTGCAAGAATAACCATTCCCATAATATCATTGGTGAGCGTGTCACTGTCACATTTCTGACAAACGATACTAAAGCATAGAGCAGGGATCACCAACTACATTTGTCCAAGGGCCAAAATTATTCCTAGAGACACTTTTGGGGGCCAGCGATTTTTATACATAGCCCTGAATTTTAAAGTTGTTGACCGGAGGGGGGGGGGGGAGTGGAGCACGCTCATGTACTGCCAAGTCGCCGGAGCCTCGTAGCGGGGCTACTGCGGAGCGCATAAAGCAGACTCTTCACGCTAACGAAGGATCACTTCTTCTTCAGGGCAGGGAAGGCTACGCAGTACGCAGGCTACTGTCCCGCAGCTGCTGCCTCTCTGTTGGACTCCGGTACTGCACATTACTCACGAGACGTTGTAACAAAAAAATGAATGGGGGGCGAACGCACTAACCACTCCGCCGGCGCCACAGCGCGTGCCGGATGAGAATGTCTGGCGTGCCAGATTTGGCCCGCGGGCCGCCAGTTGATGGTCACTGGCATAGAGTGTCTCTGTCTGACAGTAAACCAGCTTAGATTGCCATGCATGTCTATCACACTTATTCTGTGTGCTGTAATGCACATCCTGCCGCTTTATTTGAAACTTCTTGTAATTGTTTTTTATCCTTATAGCACCAAATAACAAAACTGTAATCAAGCTGAGACAGACCTAATGCATTTAAAACATGTCTAATGACATCTGGGGCCATAACTTTTACAATCCCTTTTACAGCTGACACACCCCTAGCTAAATGCTAACATCAACTTGCTGACATGCAGGGTGATGCTAATAGGGTATACTACCGTTAGCCTTTTAGTTTCGCATATTAGCATGCTTATGTTTAGCTAATTGGCATTATCTCAAAGTTCACAGCAAAAGGATTTAATAACATACGTTTGTGTTATTCACATCATTTATTGGTTTAATTGGTCAATGGCAAAAACAAAACAATTGTTCTAGGAGAGTTTAAACTGTAAATTGACTTTTTTCCCTCATACATTTGAATTTGACAACACTTCCTGTTTTAGTGCATGCTTGCACCTCATCTTGGCTACAGGCTCTGTTATGTGGAACGTTTGGAGAATACTGCGGCTTTAGTGTGTCTTTAAATACAATCATTATAAGCTCAAATAGGTCATGTCATATTTCTTTAGATGTCCTGAAAATCAACGTGTGTGTGTGTGTGTGTGTGTGTGTGTGTGTGTGTGTGTGTGTGTGTGTGTGTGTGTGTGTGTGTGTGTGTGTGTGTGTGTGTGTGTGTGTGTGTGTGTGTGTGTGTGTGTGTGTGTGTGTGTGTGTGTGTGTGTGTGTGTGTGTGTGTGTGTGTGTGTGTGTGTGTGTGTGTTTCTTGCATTTAGTCATATCTGACTTCTTCCTCAGACTCTGATGTGACTGTGGCTTCCTAAAGACTGAAATATGTCTCTCTTTGTATTGCAGTTGAGAGGGAGCTGGTTCAGAAGAGGACCTTCACCCGATGGATGAACCTGCATCTGGAGAAGGTTTGTGTATATCTTTGTTGAATGGTGTCTGCAGAAACACACAAAGAGCAGACATGGTAATCCTGTTATTACTGCACGGCTCACTGAGTGTTATTTACCAGCTGGGTGGAACCAGAGAGCTGTTTATGGCCCCCACGCTCTCTGTGTGTGCTTCACACTGCGGCTGAGGGGGGGGTGCTGTACATCAACTACAGTCTCTCTGTCTCTGTGAATTATACATGTGTTTGTGTGGAGCTGCCTGTGTGCAGCATTAAACTTTCATTAGGCTGTAAAGAGTTCATCTGAGAGAATGTGGCCGTGTTACAGGTCTAGCTAGACCAAGGTGGTCCTCTACTCTGTAGAAACGTGTCCCCTTCCTCTCTGTCCTCTGGCTGTGAGAGTTGTTTCCTCTCACAATGAGCCTCTCTTCTCAACTCACACTCTGGCCCTGCTTCAAATGTCTGACCCACTATTAACAATGAACAATCCCCCCCCCCCCCCCCCCCTCCCCCACTACTGTCAGACAAGTGCTTTAGTTAGTAATGACTTGTTGTGATAACAGGAATGACTGTTGGCTCAGTCTGACTGATTTTACAAAGAAGATGAATGATAGATCACTGTTTACCTCAAATGTCACAGTGTAAACATGTGCCACCAGTATATGCTATTACTGAGTGAGAGACATACATATGTTCTCCTATGTTTAAATCTAAAGTTTTCCTGTCATGTATTGTGTTCCAAGTGTCATATTGAATGCCTCTTTGTTGGTTTTACAGTTTTTGGGTTGCATTTTTTGATAAAGTGTAAATGGGGATAAAACTTTGAACAGACAGTATCCTCCACCTGTCAGATTATCAATGTTTATATTGTTTATACATCCTATATTCTCACTCAGGCTGCACTGTCATGTACGATGAATTATAATATAATTAAAAATGATCAAAATAGAATCCGATTCATTTATTGATGATCTACTTATCACATTACTGTCTTCCTATTTTCTTTCCCTCTCAGTGTGACCCCCCCATCGAGGTCAACGACCTGTTCAGGGACATTCAGGATGGACACATCCTCATGGCCCTGCTGGAGGAGATCTCCGGCTGCAAGCTGGTCTCACTTGTTTTAACGTGTTTAACGGCACAGTGTGTAATACTCATAATGATGTATGGAAAATCTGATAAACAGATTTAAACGTTTTTTCCTACGACATAAAATACGTCAGTAAATACCCCACTGGTGAATTTGAAAACGGCTTAGCGAGGGTGATGGGCAGTGATTTTTCAGTGATTTTTACTTCTGGTAAATCATAGTGGTGTTATACTATTCAGTAATATGTTGTCTCTTTCTCAATGATCCTCCAGCTTCACGGGTTCAAGAGGTCCTCACATCGTATTTTCAGACTCAACAACATCGCCAAGGTCCTGTCCTTCCTGGAGGAGAGGAACGTGAGTACCACAAGAAGAAGCATGAACACATGTCTGCATCATGCCTTGTGATTGGCCGTCACTACATATTTACGTGTGTCCGCAGGTGAAGCTGGTCAGTATCGACGCAGCGGATGTTGCTGATGGAAACTCCTCCATCATCTTGGGACTCATCTGGAACATCATCCTCTTCTTCCAGGTAATCTCATTTTCTAAACCTTGTCCTCCTCTTATCTGTCCTCTGAGTTTCCATTTCCCCTCCTTTCCCTTGCCTCTCTTTTTCAGTTAGAATTAGGCCAACAGGAAGAAGAATAAAGTGTCTACTTCACAGCCTTTGCACTTTCCATTCACAATAGCCCTTCAAAGTGCAGCTCTGTGGGTAGTTTATGTAATCACTCTGCACTTCAATGCCTTGGACCGGCACCATGAGGAAAAGATTACCTCTGCAGTTCAAACAGACTGTCAGCTCATTCTGGAGCAGAACAACTGTATGAGGCTCCATACACGCCTGAGCGGGATGTATGGCAATAACGTACAAGATACACTGATCTCTTCAATGAATTACAGAGGTAAATAGACTGTAAAGAGACAGCATTTCTCCAGTCATTGAGACCCCTACATCACGTTCACATATACAAGTCAGGATTCACACGCTTTCATACAGAGGCAGAGGCTACCATAGGCTACATACAGTAACACAGTGGTTCTCAACTGGTTAGGCCTCGGGACCCACTTTTTACTTGGTCAATACATCGCAACCCAACATTTTGAAGCACTCAAATCTATTCAACAAAAAATCGTGCTGTAATATATACGCTTTTCAGAATACAATATTAATAAAAGTGAAGTACAGTGCATATATCCCTTATATCCCTTCACAGAACTAAAGTATGCTTTTAAACAAGGTTTAATGAGATGATGGAATCAAAGCTGAACTATATAAAAAGGCACACATGCTGAAAACCCAACCCCAGCAGGGGGCCTGGGGGATTCTCCCCCAGGAGATTTTTAGAAATACTAACATAAACTACGCATTCTGGTACACTTTGAGAAGAAAATAAATAAATCTATTACTACCCGACATATTAATAATATTTTATGCCATTGTTTGTTTTTCACTTAGTTCTGACAGCTTGCTGAGAGAAGAGTAAAGAGGAGATTCTGTGTGACTTACTTTAAATTGTGGGTAAGGGTAGATAGCTCCCATTGTTCTGTGACCTGTCAATCATCAAACCGGGGGTCATATTTCATTATGTGTTCATTTTTATCTGAAGTTGTACCCATGGATGTATAAAGAATAGTTCTACCTCAGTTATTCTCCGTGGGGACTTCCGGCAACAATCTTGATTCTGATTGGCCAGAAGACTCGAAAAAACATCAGCAAAGATGTTTTATTGAGAAGATGATCAGTACGTGACAGAAGTTTTCAAAACCATTTATGGTCTCCGGTACTTCCAGTCCAACGCCTACTGCATGCACAGCGTTAGAAAATCGGTCCTTCAAAATAAAAGTTTGCATTTTTTCCCAAAAAAAAAAAAAAAAATTCCAATTTTTTTTTTCAATTTTTTTTTCTTCACTCACACATCCGCGACCCACTTGAAACGGGTCCGCGACCCACTTTTGGGTCGCGACCCCACCAGTTGAGAACCACTGCAGTAGCATTCTACAGGTAACTTGACATTCCACATTTGTAATTCAACGTATAAAATGTGTGAGAATTGTAGTTTTGTAACCTAACATTCTACAATTGTATTTTAGATGAAAGCCCCACCCATTTTCTGGTGAAAATCAATAATCGTCACCATACTAAGAAAAGGCTGCTGTGTCATGTATTGCACGTCAAACAACAAAAAGATCTAAAGTTTTACTTCGAACAAAGGACGATAAAAGAAAATATCTGTGGCTTCGAGCCTCCATAGAGAGGACGGAGATGTACGTCTGGGAAACACTTCCTCACAGCTAAATGATGGTGCTAATAAGGTTAACATCACTCATCAAAGAAGACATTTGTGATGTTAAAAGTCAAAGTAGTGACTGTAGTCGCGGCATTAGAGTATAAAATACTGACAAGCCAAGGAAGTTTCAGTTTTAGCTGCTGCCTGCCACTCGTCCACCATTAGACTGAGAGGACATCGATCCTCTATAGCTTCTAATGTAACTATATATCAACGCAGGTCATCGATCTCCAATGACATTTTGTAATTGTTTGCCTGACTGAACATCATCATTTTGCTACTCCTTACATTTTTTTACAGTATTCTTAATTTTTCCTCAAACCCCAGAATCTGTATTTACCACCAGTCTAATGTTTTTGTCTGCTCAGAAAAACTGAGTAACATTACCTTTCTAAATTAGAACCAACCCAAAAGTAACAACTACTGTTAGAGTAAAAGTCTTTTAGTCTTTATCACAAGTAATTGCTTGCTTTGTCCATTAACAGCAAGAAATGAGACCATGTTGAACTTGCCAATGAAATCATAGCTGGACCTTAGAAGTTCTTCATTACACTGGGAACAGTAGCTAGAGAGAAATAGTCCCACTAGCTTTCATTTGCAGTGCTTTCAATAGCTTGTCAATAGCTCAGAAGTTTCCCTCAAATCTCTCTTCACAGTTCTGTTTCATTTCCTCCGACAGTTTAATCAAATTTAAATCACACATTTGCACACCACTTAGTTCAATAAAAAGTAACTGAAGAAGAAAAAGAAAGCTCTCTATGCTAATTCGTTAGCAAGATAAATATTGTTGCAAACAGTTTATGAGCTACTATATCTTCCTTTATGTTTTGATCTCTCCATCCCCTTAAAGATTAGTGTTGTCAACATGCCTCCTTAAGGCGATTGAAATGGTTGCCGTTGTGGTGTGTCCAGGCCTGAAGACGGATAAATATCATTCAATACTTTGCATAACTCTTTTACAGCTACATGATCACTGAGAATTAGAAAATAAACCTTGGATTTTGATACCAATTTCAAAATGTTTCAGGTCCTCCCTCTTGTCTTTACAACCTGCTGCACATCAACTGAGACAAATCATTGTTTTGTGTACTATCTTCATTTGTATTAGCTAGCCAAGTTATTGCTTTCTAACTGCTGTAATATATGTACATACATAATACAATATTGTTAACTGTTGATAAAACTTCTTACATATTCAATTCTATATATATTTTACAGGAGCTACATATGTTTTGGTATTCAATTGATGCTTACAGTTGGATGGCAATGCCAGGCCAACACTGTTTGAATATAAAGTTTGACCCATGCCTTCACTGTGGTCGTGAGTGGTCATATGACTTTCATTTGGCTGATTGCATAACTATGTTCCTGTATCTCATGTTTTCGTGTTTCAATGTTCAAGTCTGACATCAACACGTTATTTTCTCAGACTTTAGAAAGCTCCCTGAGACATTACATGACTGTTTTCCCAGGCTGAGTAAACTGATAAAACTAACACCAGAATCAGCACGGAACAGATCCTCTGTGTTTTAAGAGCTTAGATTCCTGTGTAACTCTGTTGGTCATCTGTCCAAAGGATTACATGTGCCATGCATGGTAACTGTAATAAATCCAGATTCTACTTCAAACCTAAGATTGTTTTTGTCAGTCTTGGCTAATCCCACCCTTTCAGTAGACAATTGTGTAAAACACAGTGTCAGCATGAAACACTTGAGTATCCAATTCAGCCAAATCTCTGCAGCAGATTATTAACCCAACAGCTGAATTGAATGATAAAACAGCTTGACTAATGGGGAATATACTCCAACTCTGTCTCCTCCCAGATTAAGGAGCTCACGGGGAACATCAGGAGCCAGTTCCCCTCCTCCTCCAGCCTGTCGTCCATCCCCACCAACTCTGACTCCGACACGTCCTGCAGCGCTCCGTCAGGCGAGAGGCAGGCGGCGGCGGCGGCCATGCGCGAACACAGCAATGCCATCAAAAAACTGCTGCAGTGGGTCCAGAAGCGAACACGCAAGTGAGTGTGGCCTTCCATTTAAAAAATAAATGTGTGAAATAAATCTTTGAAGAGTGGAAGAAGTATAACAATGTTTACAAAATGGTGCAAGAATGAGTCTTAAACATGGAGATAAGTTAAGATTTTCAACACTCAAAGTCATTGATCTTTGGTTAATGCCTTAAATAAGGTCTGTAAATAATTATCTGGTGAAGGTAGCTTCTACACTACAGTATGCAGGGCTCAACGCTAACTTTTTAAAGTGGTTGCCAGGCTGGCAACCAGGCATCTGCTTTTGGTTGAAAATTGAAAATATGGTTGCCATTTTTAGTCATCTTATATTTTAAATAATGAAGATACTATACAGTTATACATCAACTTAATAATGAAAATGTGACACAAAAGAATGTTCAAATGCTTTACAATAAGTAATTAACACAATTATTTGAAACTTAAGTGGTAGGAAACTTGTCCACCCTCAATCGCTGGTATACAAAACACCAGTAGTGCAGCTGTTGTTCTGTTCTTCACAGATCACTAGTTTCTTGGTCATCCGTTGTCTCACTTTCAAATGTGGGTTTCCTTGACCTTTGTGCTGACCCCCACCATAGAGCCGTGGGCCCTTCAGCATTGAAGTCTTGGATTGGCCAGACTAATACATTTCTAATGTTAAATAAATGAAAACCATTCACAGTTAAGAATTAGATATTAATTATTAACTTATTTTGAAGGAACTTTTACCGGAAGTGAATGCACAACGGAGCAGAATGTACATAATATATATTTCGCCTGCCAAGACTTTATAAATGTCCTCTTTGCTTTTCGTTCGGGTTCATCTTGCGCTTTATCAGTTGAATCACTTTGAACATTCGTTTGAGATGTTGACGGGTTGGCCGAACCTTTTACCCCACAGTCAAACAACTTAATTTGCTTCGCCATTTTTTGTAAAACAAACACACCGCGCACGCGAGTAAACGTGCATCGCTTTCTGGCTCCGTAATCACACCAATGCACGTGCAACTTAAGTATCAGGTTCCGACTGGTCACAACAAATAATTAACATTTATCTCTTTTGGGGTGCACATTTAGCTGTTTGCTGTCCTTATTTCTTTATGTTAAAAACTGGTTGCCACTGATGGCAACCAAAGGCCAAGAAGTGGTTGCCTTTTTTTCTGAATGGTTGCCAATGGCAACCTGGCAACCGTTACTGTCGAACCCTGGTATGTCATAAAAGCGGTGGTTGCTAACAAGTGACTAAATGAGACTACTGAATGTCATCATGCCGAACATTAGCCTCCTTTAGCTTAGCAGTGGTGGTGCGCATCCAAGTGGCCGTGATGTAGTTATTTTATAGCCTAACGTTAGCTTTTTACTCCTAGCGTTAGCCTTTACGTTTCAACAATTATAAAAGTGCTGATGATCTGTGAAGATTATCCAGGCCCGCCCCTTCCCACACGCAGATCACGCAGACTGCGTGGGGCCTCATCTTGCGGAGGGAGCCTCATCTGATGCGCCAATACGGCGCACTTCAGCTTATGAGCAAATGCTGCGCAATTAAGCGCGCCACAGTTTCGCCGCTGCGAGGCTCCGGCGCAGTTCACGCGCGTGCTCTACTAGCACCCCCCCCCCATCCATTGTTATACATTGTATAACAATGGATTTCAAGTAGGAGGGGCATCAATGATTTACTTGCTCCATTAGTGTGTTATTTCATTGTCTCTCTCATAGTTAGTTTTGTTGTCTCTCTGGACTGACCCTGTCCTCTGAATGTGTGTGTTTTGTCTCAGGTACGGTGTGGCTGTGCATGACTTTGGGAAGAGCTGGAAAAGTGGTCTGGCCTTCCTGGCTGTCATTAAGTCCATTGACCCCAGCCTGGTGGACATGAGGAAGGCCCATCTGAGGACCACCAAGGAAAATCTGGAGGACAGCTTCAGGATAGCCCACTACAGCCTGGGTATCCACCGCCTTCTGGAACCTGAGGGTAACAAAGAAAAACCTAACCCTGCATGAAAATAATGTTCAATGCACAAAAGTGTAGGTTTTCTCACGCCAGGGTAACCTGTTCAATAACGCTGTAGGCTAGACCTCTTCAACAGGTTTCTCACAATAACATAATTAGCCTAAAGCGGAAACAGACAACTTTTCACCCTCTCCCGAGCGTTTCCAAATGTGCTATTGTTGGCACAGCTGTCTCAAAGAGAACTAGATCATTCTCAGTTTTTCTCAGAGCTTAGCAAAAACCAGCAACTCAGGACAGACTGCATAATGTTTCCCACGTTTAGTTCCTAGGTAACTGGGGATAGCTACAAAGCCATTATATTTCTCAAACAACGTTTTATCATAAGATCAGTCTAGCCCTGTAAGTCATGAGTGATAGGAGGGAACCTTATTTACATGGGAGTCTATTTTTGAAATGCCAACGTGGTAATGTTCTTTGTCTGCCCATGCCCAGATTTGACTATCAATGCACCAGATGAACAATCCATCATGACATATGTGTCTCAGTTCCTGGAGCACTTCCCTGGCATAGAGGAGGTAGGAATCCCTTTTTTTTTTTTATAATATATGTCTGACAAAACATTAGCGTCTCAATGAGAGCACAGATAAATTCTGCCAACTTGTTTGTTTCCATCTCAGCCGGAGGAGCGCTGCCAGCCGATTGAACGAAGCGTCTCCATGGGCCGAATCAACTTCCGTGACAGTGACACCAACCACATAAGGAATAGTGCGTACCGAAGCAGAGTGAAGGAGAGGTCCTACATGTTCCAGAAGGTCTCTGCCCAAGCCCCACCCAAAATCTTAATTTCCTCTGTGTCAGAGGACAGGAGCGCCATGTCACCCCCCTTCAGACCGCCTACAGCTCGCTCGTGGTCGGTTGAAGACATCTTAGCAGATTCCCCCCACACGGAAGACATCTCAAGCAGTGTGGTTGAAGATCCCAATGAATCCACCAGTGAGGTCAACACAACTTGTAACTCCCCACAACTGCCTTACAGTCACTCTCCCACAGGCTCATCAGTGCCCGAGTCCATAAACACAGAGTCAGTTATTGGCGACTCTGCAATCGGCTCGCCAGACTCCTGGATGGAGAGCGAGTTCGGGGTGATGCCAGAGAGGTTTTGTGAAAGCCAAAGCGAGAGTTCTTTGTGTGACAGTGGAACGGCCTGGGATGTGTACCGTGCCACCCCTGTGGAGATCACTAATCTAGATGAAGGATTTGTCCCTTCCATGGAGGATAGAGCATCTCATGAGCAGTCGAATACTGAGTCCTACATCGATGAAGGGATTTACTCACTGAGCTCGTTGGAGAGCACCAATGAGAGAATTCATGGGCATTCTGAGAAAAAGCAAGATGAAGTTGTCAAAGTGAAAGAGGCAAACCTTGAGAATAACAACCAGGAAATGGTACTAGAACAGGAACCTGATCAAAGCATGGATGATATTACGAAAGAAGTAGACTCTAGGGACATGGATACAAGTCAGAGCAGAGAGCAAGAACCTTCTTTTGGACTGTGTGAGGCAGAAGAACGGATTCATTCTGGTGTTGAACATCTCCTAGAAACTGATCAATCTAATCAGTCACAACTCAAGCAAACCCTTGAGAGCGCTCATGGAGACCCGGAATACTTAGAGAAAGCTGTGGACGTTAATGGGAATGCCAATGACCATGAAGAACAAATTAAGGATGCAACTGCAAGTCAGAATGAGAGAAATAACTCTGAGGAGATTGAAGGGGAAACTGAATGTCAGAAAAAAGATAGTCCAGAGGAGACAAGAGGAGAGCCAACCGAGGAGGCTGTTGTTTATAAGGAAAGGGATGTAGGAAAACAAGAAGAAAGTGGAGTTCTAAGAGAGTACCCAGGTCCTCAAGAAAGCTTAAGCTCAGAGACTTTAGCAAACACACATCCATCCAACACAGATGGAGTTTCAAAAACAAGTCTTGAGCCAAGCAGAGGCATAAATATTCCATTGATATCTATTTCCAGTGAGCCAGAAGAGCAGGATGAAGAGGGGACATGTGTGCCAGAAAGTAGCGATCGTGCTGGGGAAGATGAGGAACATCAAGCAGAGGGAACTGACGGAGAGGTCAACAGCCCTGAAAATCCTCCTGAATTGGGTTGTGATTCCAATGACAATGTTGACAAAGACTCTGTTGAAAGTCCTTCCTGTCTGGTATCAGAAAATGTTGAACCAACAGAATCAGAACAAAAAAGGGTCATAGAAAGTTTGGATGAACATGACATCAGCGGATCATCAAATTCAGTCATATGTGACAATCAAACAGCCACAACACAGCAAAACACTTTAGATACGGGTAGTGTTTCCACAAACATGGACCTATTTTATACAGACTTTGATCAAAATTCCCATGCAGAGGATTTAATCTGTGACTCTATCGAACCCATGGATCTGTTCTACCCAGACAAAGAGGAGCCCATGTTTACAGAGCTGCCGGATGTTGAAATGCAGAGTTGGCCTTCAGTTTTGAGTGTATCTGCTCTCCAGCCAGCACCAGCTTCAGAGACTGATCCTGACCAGCTACTGGACCTGCTGGGTGAAGACTACAGGGAGAGAATGGATTCCATACTAGAGGATGATGAGGTAAATTCAGTCGTACAATCAGACTATTCCAGTCTCAAATGAGCTTGCACTTTTAAACAATTAAGTATCAAGTATTTCAGTTTATTTTCAGTGGAGTTTTTGTCCATTTCCATGTTTTAATGGTTGGCAATGTTGGTAGGTCAGTCGACAGATATACGGATATTCTTGGTCCTCAGAAAAAAAAAGTTTTGTGCCACCATCAAGTTGACATGTTTTGTTTTAATTGAATCTCTCAACAACTTTTGGTTGATTGCCATTCATTTGGTACAAAATGATGTTCCCTTGTGGGTGAATTAAAATCACTTTGTCAATCCCCTACTCAGCATTTACATTTTTAGATAGATGTTTCCCTTGCCATTCTATCTGATAGGGAGGATACACTTATTAAAGATGAACACATTACTTACATTTATTTAAAGTATTGAAATAACCCTTTCGCACCACCTGAAGGACTGTGTGTAACAATTACATAAACTCTCTTAAAATGTATATGGAATAAGAGGTGTTATCATTTTTGTAATATTTTATATTCAACATTATTTTTCATTCGAGGGTTGAAGCGTCTCAATCCTTACTAGTATTTGGCAGCACAGTTCAAAGGATACTGCTTTTTGGAAGGAAATTGTTTCCAAAAATGGTATAAAAAGAACATTTGCAAAATACTGAAAATGCATATTCCGAGTTCTTAAAGCAAATGAGGACCTATTCAAAAAGCTTATGTTACAATAACATCTTAAACTTCAAATGGATAGGATTAATATTGACATAAAAGAGAGTAGACTTCCTGTTAGCTTTGCTGTTTCTTTTCCAGTGTAAAATAAGCGCTCCCTTATAAAAACTCAAGCCCCAGTCTGTGTGTGTCTAATGGTCCAACTGCTCAAACAGGAACATGAAGCAATGTGAACATTCACACCTCCACAATATCTCACTCATGACCAGATGACCTGCTGAAAGCTTGAGGCCAGTCACTGTGATGTTCCCATGCTAATGCTCATAGCTTTGGACAGCTTGTCCTTGAAAGCATTTTGGTTGTTACAAACAGTTGTCTCCATGAACATTCACAACAACAGTGTGAAGAGAGAGAAGTTGAAATCCCTCCTACTTTCATGCCTCAAAAATCATGACCATGGGGGTTGTCTGGGTTTAGAGGATCGGAAAGTCAGATGTTTACAGTACTGAGGCCTAAATGGTTGTTAGTAATGCAATGTTAGTACTATGCATTTGCTATTGTTGTAGCTTTATTCGCAGTAGGTCTACTACTTAGTTCTTACAATGATGCAAGAGGAAATATTAAGGGGCCATCAGAAGCACAGGAGTTCATCATCTGGGCAGCATGAATGTGATCATGTCAATCTCTAGAGTGGTGCAGTGATCACGTATTTGTGGTGGCTAAACTAGAAGCTAGCATCACAAGGGCTCCCTCGACAAAAAGCAATAGGATTGTGTCATTGGGTTTCTAAATTTTGCAGAAAGAAAGATCTCTGACAAAATACGTTTGGACCATAGACTGTATATATAAATGGACGTAGTGTCCGTGACGTCACCCATAGGATTCTGCAGAATTGCCAAGAAGCCTAAAGTAGACGGTGTCGGCCACTAACGGCTCGACAGTGACGTCAGAGTCTAACTCCCGCCTGCTCCAAATAAGGGCAAAGAGGCGGAGGCGGGACCTGCTGCCACCGAGCTGGAAGTTCCAGAGCTAGCTGAGGCTACCAAGCTAAGCTAACATGCTCAGCAGTGCTGCTCTGTGATGCTAGCCGGCTAACCTACGTCTGTTGCTCCCGGTCTGCACATTTTACGTTGCTTAAGGTAAGTTAACATGAAACTATTCAGCAAAACTTTCAATCATATTCTAAGGTATTGAGTTTTGGGATAATACTTTGCATACAAATCTTAAAATGCCTTCAGGTTTCTAAAATATATATTTTGTGATAAATTCAACAGTGGATCCAGCAAAGATTGAAATATGTGCATGATTTTAGTTATTGATTTTTTGCTGTTACTTAATTATACTTTTAATAAATTCAAGTCAAGCTTAGTTACATGTGATGGTAGCTAGTTAGTGCTCTTACCTGTGTGCCTCCTCCACAACCAGACTGTATTAAAACTCTTAAGTACCAGTTCTATCTACTTTAAACAATTAAAAAGACAAAATCAACTAAATGTATTGAAATAACAATCTTCAATGTAGGTGCCTCTTCTTCTTTTAAATTAAACTTTCAGACGTGAGATATTGAAATACAGTAATAGTATTGTTTATTTTTTTTAAACTGAGCCACTCCTTACAGTTAACTTCATATTTCTTATTGTCTAAAGCATTTATTACACACATGTTCCCCTCTCATATTCACAGTGTGGATCAATTGAGACAGCGTGGTGTCCAGAGAGCTGCAGAGACTTTGGGAGAAACCTCAGCGTGACGGATGTCCTGTGGGTTTGGCTGGAGAGGACTGAGGTGGAGCGGCCTTTCTCTGGGAGGAGGAGCAGGCCTGATGAAGAAACCACCAAACTACATCTGTGAGCCCAGACTGGGCACAGCTGTCACAAACAAATGATGGTCCTGTTTGAATACACACTATTCAGTATGCAGATCTTTGTGTTCACAATAAAAGTGTATTTTCTTAGTGAATGTCTTGTATTGGTCTTTAATCTCATATCAGCTTTTCATTTTCTTCTTTGCCCCTCGGAGAAAACGGTGAGGCAATTGTGTCCTTCAGGTATGTCCTTTCCTAACAGAAATGACAAGAAACATAAAACATATGACATTATTGCAGAGTAAGTGTGTTATTTATGAAAGAGGTGCGTTAGAAGGCTGTAGAAATAAATACAAAATTATTTGAATGTGTTTTTTAAATTCATCACTTTGTACTACAAAGATAATCAGATTATGAATGAACAGTCTGCAGTTAATCAACATTAAAATATATGTTATTATTAAAATAATATTCAACTGTTATCAGAACTTAGTGCAACTGTAGTGTCATGCTGTCCGGTTGTCTCACTGCAAGAACCACTTTTACCATGTTTTTACAGACAATATGTAGAGACAAATGGTAGTAATTTTCACAAAGTAAAATAATAATTGCCTTAACGGGGTGTCCGCGGGGTCTTAAAAAGTATTAAAAGTTGATAAATCAATTTAGCGAAAATGAAGGCTATTAAAAAGTATTAAACGGCATTTTCCAAGGTATTAAATGTTGTAGCTTGTTTTTAATAAGTATATAAATCGTCCAAAGAGGTTGTATTCTACAGTGTGCCTGAATGTAATCATTGCGTATGTGTGTAGTGTGATTCTGTGTAGTTTATTTATGGCATCCCGTTGGATTTGACGTCATCTGAACAGGACATCGCACGCTCACTGCTTGATGGCGCGCGAAGGTCCGTTTACGCTGGTTGTTAAACAACATCGTTACGGGGAAATGCAAGTTTGCGTCCAAATGGTTGGAAGATAAGGAGGAAGGACAATCAATACTGTATATAATAAATGTGAGGTAAAGTGTGTCGCCAATGTAACCGGTTAAAACTCAAAGTGGCGATGAGGTCTTACAATGTATGGAAAGGGTCTTAAAAAAGGTCTTAAAAGGTATTACATTTGACTTCAGGATTCCTGCTTAAATACATTGACATGTGAAAGCTGACAACAAAATGATGTTGCATGTTGCTTGGTCAAATCTAAATGTAACTGTTTGCAAGGAAGGAACAGTCAACTTCCCTGATGTCAGTATTTAGTCATGTTTAATGGCATGTATATCAGTGTATTATAGTTGTTACTTTATCTATTTAAACCAGAACGTTTCTCGATTCTTTGTAAAGTATGAAAGGGGTCTTTGTACCTTTGAGTCCATGCTGAAGTTCACTGATGATAGGAATAGGTCTGTCTCTCGTGGTCAGCATCCTCTGGTCTGTCTGCATCACCTGGAAACTTTAAACAAACAGATAGTAAAGTAACATGTGTTGGTCACAGACTTTTTTTTTACATGCAAACGTCATGTCCTAATCTTTTTGATTATCCTTAAAAAAAAGTGCTGGATATCACAGCCCTTACTGTATCTTATCAGTTGGATTGTGTATTATTGTATAGTTGGGGTCCTTTTTATTTTACTGTTACTTTGGAATAGTTGTTCATGAGACAGTCAAATTAAATATGTCCTATGCCATATTCACATTCATTTGTAACACACACGTAAGGGTAAAAGACAAACATCTTTAACAAATGTAATGCAATGAATAAGCTTAATTGTCACAGAAGCACACATAACGTCATATCTAATATTTAAAGGGCCCATGTCATGGCCATTTCTACTGATCATAATTCCATTGTTGAGGTATACTAAAATCGATTTATACTGTGCAATTTTCCAAACTCACATTGGTTTTCTCATACGGCATCTCTGTAAAGTATGTGTATTCACTCTCTGTCCTAAACGGCTTGTTGGAGCTCCGGTTGGTCAGCTTGGCCACTCTGTTCTGATTAGTCAACCACCAGAGAGGCTCCGCCCATGTCTAACACAGTGTTTTTTTCGGCTCTGAGCGGGACATCAACAATGATATGTTATAGGAGCAAATAATTCAGGGAAGAAAGGCTACTAAGTATTTCCATCCAACTTTATTTTTAGAAATGTACAAAATGAACATGTGTAAATATACATATATACACTGTATATCATCCATTCCTCCCCTTATAGGCGTTTTCGGCATCTTGCCTATCGCAGCTTTGTAAGCTGGTGCTGGGGCTTTTTAGGACGAGGCATCAGAGTGGTCATCCCTTCATGTGTTGTCCGTCGGATACGCCAGGAGTTTCCTGATCTGGCTGGACGAAATCAAATGCAAATCACAAAATATTAGAGAAACTTAGTTGTTTTAGGTTTGTTAGCTTGCCAGCTAGATTAAGATTGTTTCGTGAAATGCTGGCAGAGGGTGTGGCCTCTGGGTATTCACACGTCACAGTACCCAGGAAGTAAACAATGGAAAATGAGAAATCTCCAACGAGGCGTTTTGGG